GTTAAGAATTAAGCCTTTCCTTATTTCAATATATATATTGTTTTTACTGTGGTAGCAATAAACAAAATAAAATCATTTGAATATAATTTCTATGCAAAAGATGGAATTTTTTTCCTTTTTTTTTGATGATGGGAAGGTAGACAGACACTGAAAATGACAGCATGAAAAACAGAATAAAAATATTTACACCACTTGAGTATCATGAATTTTACAAGTACACAAATGGACAGACTGCAGTGGGTATAAAGTAAGAAAAACTTATGTGTTTTTTGGGGTTTTTTTTTTTTAAGTACCAACCCATTGGATTAGTAGTTAAACAATAGTAGATATTTACACAATTGAGAATTGCAGATTTTACAAATGCACAAATATACTGGGCACAGTGAGCAGGGGATGAGAAAGCTTTGTGAAGAGTCAAGGTAGCCACTCCTATGCTCAAGCATAAAATGAATTGCCTTTATCTGATAAGCTATGGCACTCACACCCAATGAACAGTAATGGTGCAAGAAAGTACCATGTAATGTCTAGATATTTGACAACACAAAGATGAACCAGTCAACCAAATTGGGCAGGAAAAGAAGAAATGGTACATTTAGTGCTGCAAATTTTGAGGTCAGCATACATTTTATTAATCAAGATCATTATTAAAAAATACAATAAAATAAAGTTATATTGTCAATTACAAGGTATTTCATACACGGGTTCCTAACTCTACAGGGTGGTCTGAAAGTCTTGTCACCTATACATAATACAATTTTCTATTTCAGATGACTGACATGAGTTCATACAGTTTGGAAAAGAGGTAGGGGTGATGATACTTTCAGATCACCCTATACATTGGCTGATTTCTTTATACTTCAGATATCAATGGTTTCATAAGAATTTTATTTTAGAAACTCAATAAAAAGCTATATCTATATATACTGAAGCTCCTATTACTAACTGCTATACATTCAAAATTTCCTGTAGTTTTTGTCATTCCCTAAGCACATTTGCATGTAAACAATATAGTATACACATATAATATTTGGTATTATATACATATATATTATACTCTATAATATGCTGAATGCATCAATTATACATTATACAATTAAGATATCATTCAATAGATTATATTCTTCAAGAATACACACACTACATAAATATGTAATCATATGTGTACATCAATATACTGATTTTACATAATATAAATTGAGATATATTAAATTTACTCAAAGACTGCATCTCAGATGATTTTTGTCATAGGTTAACTGCTCTTGTAAAGAATATTATAATAGATGTACATAATGTCTTCTTGTGAGTTTGAAATAGTAATAAAAATGCTGAGGCTTAAAAATTCTATAATGAAATAAAGTAAAAATATTATCTTCTTGAATATTCTTTAGATTGTTTCTATCTTTCAATACTTACAAATATTTCAAACTACACAAGATTTTTAAATACCTGTTGTATATGCATATATATACATTTTATTTCTGGTGATGTGGATAGTACAATCAGGTACAATCTGCTGCAGAAGAAAGTTTCAAAAGCTGGACAAGGATGGATCTCTAGTCAAAAAACAAATTTTACAGCTCTGCTGTTTCTACCAAACAATGGTTCTGTAGTTTTACCTTGTGTGTGTGGATGAGGGTGGGTCTACTTTACAGAATATTCACAAGTATAATGACATATTCTTATTGACTTTCTCTGGTTATCTAATAAGTCATTGGTTGGCAATACAACAGTTTTTTGCCAAACCAACTATACAATAGAAATAAAAATCTTGAAGGCCTTTTTACAGTAAAAAAAAAGAAAAAAAAGGCAACCCAGTTTATAAAAAATTTGTTTCAATCCAGATTTTTGTGCGTCAAAATACCTTTAAACTATAGAATAATTTTGGCCACTTAATACTAACTTCTATTTCATAGTCATAATACACAAATCTACATTCATTTCTAACTTTAAACTGTTAACAGCACAAATGCTATAAAAGGTATTTCTCAACTTTCTTATTTCCTTGAAAATGACTAATGAATAAATACTTTTTTTTACTCTACCCACATATATATATATGTGTGTGTGTGTGTGTATATATATATATATATATAAGTGGGTATGATAAAAGGAAATATGTGTATGTATCTATATTTTTGATTATCCTATATTTTATATACTATTTACAAATAGATAGATTATATTGCATACTATAGAACATTTTCATGCTCAATATGACTAAACTATACATAAGCAAACAGTTAAAGTAAGTTTTGTCCCAGATGAAACTATACTTAGTAAATATTAAAAAAATATATACATATTATATGTATTACTTATATGTGTAAATTTTAGTATACATGACATAATGATTGCAATATAAGTGTGTTGCCTAAAACAAGAATTTTTAAAGAATATTGTTTTTTGATTTGCTACTGCTCTTTTTACCTTTAAGTCTTAAGAACTGATGAAATATCCTTTTACTTTGACCCATATTGAACATGTCACATTTGATATAACTACTGTAGATATGTAATTATGTATATTTAGTTTTTAATTTTTAGACTGTAGTCCTCATTTTGGTCTTTCTGTTCACATTTTTCCTCAATGAAAAACTAAGTATATTATTTAATGGATGAGTTAAATATAAGTAAATTGTAAAGAAAATTTTTTTAGTATTATCACTTGATGGTGATTACAGAAATATCAGCAGAAAAGAAACAACTTCATACAGTGGGACCATAGATCTTGAACACTTTTTATCTCAAACAAATCAGTTCTTGAAGAAGTGTTTTAAGAATACACCCCAGTTTTCAAGCAAAAAATCGTTTGTTTATATTTCTGAGATGAAGTATTGTAACTGTTTACACTATTTACATTGTTTGGACTGCTGTCCTCGTCTTTATTGCTATATTCACAATTGAAGAAGGCTGAAACATTGTGAATATGGCAATAAAGATGAGTACAACACTCCGAACAATGTAAATAGTGTAAATAGAAAATTGGTTCTCAAACAAAATACAAATCAAATCAAGGAAGCCCTGAATATGTGGATGTGTCAGTTACTTGTTGTTTTCCATGATTGTTGTACACGTTCACTCCATCAGTGTGTGTTTTGTTGTATTCAATTTAAAGAAAGTTAGTGATAGCAAAAAATGAGAAAGTTGTAAGAGCCACAATTGAAATGAAAAAGCAAATAATATCGAAACATGAAAGTGGTGGAACACATCTTGAAACATGAAAGTGGAATATGTTTTGAAACTAGTGGTGAATATTTCAATGCTGAAATCAGCATGATACTGAAGAAAAAAAATCAAAGCACTAAATGTTGCAAAAGGAGTGAAAGTTAACTAAACAAAGATGACTGACTTTTGAAGAAGTGGAAAAATTGTTGCTGATTTGGATAAACAAGAAACAATTAGCTGGTGATAATATTTCAGAATCAATAATTTATGAAAAGCTGAGGTAATTTATTCTTATAGAAAAAACTGTTTTGCCTTTCAAACAAATCTCTTTTTGAATGATTTCTTAGAATGAATTATATTCAAGACCTGAGGTTCCACTGTATGTCAATTCTGAAGCCAGATCATTTTGATTTATTTAATTGTTCTTAATATAGACAACATGTAAGAGGGTTTATTACTTTATAAAAATATTAAATTAAAAAAATGCAAAAATCCTTTACAATCAAAATTGTATCAATAACTGGGTGACTTTCTGACCTATACATTTTTTTTTTAAATATGTGAAAAATAAGAATGAGGATGACAGTCAGAAAAAATAAAATTAGTATTTTATATTACTAGTACTGAATTATACCAACCTCAGATAAGTTGACTGGTTTACTACTTGGATAATAGCAAGACTGACCTCCATGTTATGTACAGCAAATACTTAAACAAAAAGGATGATAGGAAATGGAAATACCTCATTTCACAAATACAAAGATATTTTATTTAAAATCAATGTTCAAATGTTATCACATTTTGAAAAGCTCTTTTCATAATTTATCATAACATTTAACTTTTTCAGATTTATAGATAACAAGCACAAAATATGCTTACAGATCAAAATTTAAATCAACTGCAAAAATTATGGGTGCATTTGCAATTAACTTATAACAAATTCTCAATGACAACAGAATCTGTGTCAACAAGTAAAAGTCTGGCTGATGGAAGTTGACAAAATACTTTCTGAAGGTTAGGGAAATTTTTAAAATAAATTTTTACTGTAAATTTGAATTTTTGTTAATGTAGCAATTTGATGTTTGTCTTGTAAAAAAATCCAAATTTTAACAAAAAATTAATTTAAAAATAGACTTTTTGTCATGTGATAATATTTAAACATTGACTTTCTTCTTTATTGAAAAGGAGAACATAGATGTTTGAGAACATTTAATGAAATAACTTTCTTTAGATTTTTTAGTGAGACGGGATTTATGATTTTGAAAGATGGCTGTGAATATAAGTGCAACAGACAGAAGCCAGGATGGATTGAAAGAAAAAAGAATAAAAAACAGATTATATAAAACAGATAAAAATTTGTTTAAAAGTTTTTTTTAAAAAAAAAAGGATAAAAGTAAAAAATGATTTACAGGTTAAAAAAAAAATATGAAGCCATGGAATTGTATTCAATTGTTTTCAAAAGAAAAAAAAGTTCTTTTATATTCTGTTATCCTTAGAGAGCTAGCTGCACTTAAGCCAAGGCCTCCAAAAAATAATAATGATGATGATAATAATAATAATAATTATACAAACTATTTGACAGAGAAATTGTTGATGACCTGTCAAAATATGAAAGCACCAGTCATAAAGGGATTTTGTAACTAACAGCTACCTTTTGAATAACATGGTAGCCCTTATTATGCTATGGCGAGTTTCTATAATTGTTGGCAAATACTTGAATGTGAAGACCTAGAAGACAATCTGCTCTTCCAGGAGGTCTTCGCTCCTTATAGATTTGAGTCACAATAGCAAAAGGAAACCTTTTCTCAGCTTCTAGAAGTAGACTGCCAATGGAAATTAATCACATTTTGGTATTTCTTCATAGATGTCTGTAAAAGAAAAGAGACATTAAGTATGAGCAGGATGTACTAAATTGCCTTAATATGCTTTATATAATAATAACTGTTGTGTCATAAATAGGAAAGGTTGACACACACACATACAGAAAATAAGAAGTTGTTTATTCTGGAGAATAATATGGTATATGGTTGAGGACACAGACTAACATGATAATCATTTAATCGTTAACTTCTCTCACTCAGTAAAAGAGGGTGCTGCTTAAAAAGTCTTAGACCAGTCCATCTTGTGGAGGAGTTCAGCTACTCCACAACAATAATTGGTGAGATATTAAATATAATAAGATATAATATTACTTGGTGAGAAATTAGCAGTTCATTAAACAAGTAACTAAGATAAATTTAATTTACTTCAGTAAAAGTTACTGAAAGATATTTTTTTTTAAATTATTTCACCCCCAAGTAAGGCAATAAAGACACTAAGATGTAAGAGGTTATTGGTAGTGAAAGAAACAGAGGGACAATATAAGAATAGGATACAAGGAGACAGAAGATGAAAATTGCCATTGCATTTAAAATTATGAAGATCATAGTTGACTGGAAAGTAGGAAGCAAGAAGAGAGTCCCACAAATGAGAAGTTCAATAGAAGACGTAAATAATGTTTTCTGCTGATGAAACAGTGGTCTGGTTGGAATCATTTTTATATCTGACTATCATATTCTGTAGCAGGGTTTCTGAATGAGAGGAAAAGTTTTGAAATAACCTCCAAAAATGGCTGTGCAAAAGTTTTAGGCAATCTGTCCTTTTTGGCTTTCTCTTTTCAGTGCTGTTGGACACACGATACACAAGTTCACTTCAAAACATCTCACAGGAGACATGTCTGTTTCTGCATATACAGTAACATCTCTTTTGATTAGTTGCATCAATGCTGCACAACCAATTCTCAAGATATTCAAAATTGTTCAATATTTTCTGGACTGACCAAACAAAATATATACAGAGTATCTTTTATGTGCTGTATCTCTTCAAGATGTTAGGTAATTATGGCTCTTCACAACTTCCCATGCTTTTTAGCTCTTGGCAATGTTTGTCTTTTTACTATCCCTCCCATGCTCTGCTATTTACACAAGCTTGTTAGGTAGTTAACTCATTGTTTTCCCTATGTCCCTCTTGCTTTAAATATGTCCCAGGAGTTAAATTCTCTAAGCCCCCTTTCTTCATTATGTGTACCAGAAATTTCAACTGAAACTTATTAACTTGACAGCCTCAACCTAATTGCTTATTATGTAATATAATAGAACAGAACATACAAGTACTTCAATGCTAGAAACTATGACTATATTACTAACATTGTTATTAACTATGAAAAATATCAAATCTATTCATTTTTTTTTAATCTTACCATCTGGTGAATTCTCTTCTTCACCTGGTGCATAGCTGCAATTAAAAACAAGAAACATTTATAAATTTAAACACATAAAAAGAAGTTTCTTTAGAATTTAGAATGTTGGCAATTTGGAAATATTTGTGAAAAAAAATTAAATACTGTTTAAAACCTGTAGGATGTAATTCAGGTCAAAAAATGATAAAAGTTTTTACTGCTATGTAAAGTATATTACAAAATTAGTATTGCTTAATGTTTGAAAGATGAGACAGAATTAATTAGTGAGTTTAGATTATGATACTCAAATCAGAAATCATTGGTTATAACTGATAGATTCAAATATGAGCATCTGTAACTCAAATTGTAGACAAATAAAGCAACTAACAGTGGTATTTAGATCAACAGAGAGTCCAAAGCAATTCATCTAAGATTTCTTTACAAGGAGCTTACTTTAATCATTAGTAGAGAAAATAAAATTTACACCTGGATGGATTTCACCATTTTATAGTAACATGGTCTAGGTTGGTAATCTAATATTTCTTTCAAAATGACTACATGCAAATTTAACTATCAGGGTTATATCTCCTTCATTTCAGTAGTTACAAAATAGAGAAACTTTAAATATTCAGGTTCTGCTTTCATCCAAATTGTGTTTTTATTATCAAAATTTTGTTACAACTTGTGATTATATTTAGTTAGGACAAAATTTATTTTTCTTGAAGCCAACCAACTTGCAAAAAAAAAAAAAAAAAAAAAAAAAAAAAAAAAAAAAATGTAAAAATAAAAGTAATTCCAAAAACCCATTTGTATGTAATTAATTGTAAATGTATATTTTTATTTTAAAAATATATTTTTGTATCAGAAAAACACATCAGCAGATACAATAAATGATTTTACTGCTTTTATACTTTTAATGATATATCTGTACAAACATATAGGATATAAAGCAATTTCGATTAAGAAGATATAACAATCCATGTCATATAATTAAAGTTGATGGATTTATTCATCTGAGCAGTTGGTTAAATAGTAAAAATGTGGTTTTGTTTATAGTTCTATGTCCTTGACTATTCTCTGTGTGTTTTATGTATGTAGCAACAGTAATTTAATGCATTATTTTGTGATATAAATAAAAATCTATCATCAAAATTTTCTTTTATTTTTCATATATAACGTCTGATAAATCTTCAGTTTCACTTTGAAAGCATTATTACTTTAATACATTTTTAAATGCAACTCAGTATTTTTAAATAATTGTATATACTGCTTTGTCTCTATATTTTATTTTCTAATACATTCATCTGAAGTGAAAAAAGCTACCTGAACCAAAGCAAATTTACAAAGACATAATCAAGAACAGAATAGAGAAAGTAATGAAGATGATTGGCATTTAAGTCATCAACAAAGAAAGATGAGCAAACCATGAAAAACAATGTTAAGAGCAGTACAAGATTAGTTTAACAGTTCATCATATCAATTCTGAGATTAAAGGTTTTGTTTTGTGAAGAGTTGAGAAAGACATTTCCAGTTGAAGATAGCTTAATAATAGAAGAGGCTAATAAAGAAGAATGATAAAACTACACTGGATACATTCATGAAAAAGAGGAGAAAAGCCAATAGACATAGTGTCCAGACTCATAACAAATAGACTGACAGGAAATTTAAATAAAGATAAAATATTTACTAGTATATACCTAGAATGTTCAACCAGAAAAAGAAAAGTTTATATATACCAAAAGATTTTTGAATAATATTTTGGAAATCAAAAGGTTCTTTTTAAGTATTGTTTTCTCTTAGGAAGAAACTTTGATTTCAAGGCAAAAATTCAAAGAAAACATCCTGCATCTTCAACACACCAAAAATGAAAGTTCATTCATTGGTAAAACAATGGTAATATTTCTATAAACTTTAAATTAAAATATTTTCTAAGTAAATTCTACGAAAACAGGCAGATAAACCCCAGAAAGAAAAACAAAATGTATGTTTCAAAGTACCAACAATAGGTTCATCTTATATATCAAAATCAGTAAATGATTAAATGGTATGGCATTAGAAGTATTCTTGATTCAAATTCACTTTCTAGACTTATTCCAATAAAACTTTCATTTGTTCCTTTAACCTTTTGGTACCTGTTGTCTCACTAGTATACTTTAAGACATTTTTTTTAATACCAGATCAGCATTAATTTTTATTATTTTATTGATAACATTATAGTCTGCTTCAAATTAGTTCTCTTTCTGATTCACTCTACATGCTGGCTGGCTGAAGAAAGCAAAACCAAAAACAAAAAAGTCATCCTCTGTGCAGGGTCTCTGAGCATCACATCCATTCACAAAACAAATCCCATCAAAAAATATAAAATACAATATAAAAGAAGCTAATCAGGAATGTTGCCACCAAAGAAAAAAACATGGAAAAGGATGAGTTTATGAATCATCACATTTGCTTTTAAGAATGCTGCTTATAATGTCTGAAAAAGAATCACAGTGAATGGACAAGCTTCAATGAATCCACCAATGTCAAACTGTCAACATCACCACCAGTGACCTCAGTTAACTGACCAGTCACGCACATCAACTCCAAGCCCTACCTTCTTCCAAGTCACTTCCCTTACCCACAAAGAGATATCCCACTCACATTCTCTGTATTGGCAATACAAAGAATTTTATATTAACAATTCTTGTCTTTTCCTTTCACCTCACTGGTGGTACTTGTTTCATTTGTTATCTCATATACATGTTTATAAAAATAATAACATATGCATGTTTATAAAAATAATATACAAGGAAAAGACTAAAATACAATATGTGCTTACACATTGTGTTAAAATACAGTTAATGCTCATCTGGTATAAAAGATAAATATGTCTTAAAATATATTCCACAATGGGCACTAAAAGTTAATTAGATAATGTACTTTACAGAAAAAAAGAAATTAGTGCATTGAAAAGTTTTAATCTAACCATGTTTGCATCTTAAAAATTAAAAGATCATTAAACATTTTTCAGGTTATTAAATAACAATATAACAATAGCCACCTTATTATTATTTAGACTCTGCACACTCAATCAAAAACTGAAATGTACTAAATTGTCAAATCAATTTTTTATCATCATCTTGGATTTTATTGCTATCATTTTAATTTAGAGTAAGCTAGTTTAGTAATTTAAGCTAGTAAATGTTTTTAGTATACAATGAGAAATAGCATTAAATTGATTAAATCATATAACTGCTATTATGAAAAATAAGCAGTGGACATTTTACCAAATTATATAAAATGTTCAGTTAAAAAACAAAGTGACTCAAAGAGTCTCATTTTTTTTCGTTTATTTTAAATTGCTACAACATATGTTGATCAGCCTGGGTACTAGACAAAATGATGGAACAGAATATAAACGTCTGTACTCATAGATATATGAAGTTAAAACTAATCCATCAGGCAGTTGCCAATATTTTGTTAGTATGAAATTTAATCCTAAATGCTTCAGAGTTAACAGAAAGTTTGGTTAGTCATGATTATGATTGCTTTGGCATTGTGGAACCATTGGTTGTACTTTGTATGAAACTGTTTTTCTCTAATAAAAAATAGCTCTGTGCATTCATGTTTGCATGATAGTTCATTTTGAAATTACATAGGAAGATCATTTACAGATTTGAGCAAATGTTTTCAGCATATAGTATCAAGTGCATCAAAAATTATATACTTTAAAATCATGATTTAATCCAAAATTTAAATAAAGATAAATGACAAATTAAAGACTATAGTTATCTAAATCTTTTTTCTATATATTTTAAATAATAGAGATTTTAACAAGAACTACAAAGCCTTTGGCAAGCAACCATTATAAGCACTCTCAAGCAAATGTTTATAATAAATAAAAAATAATTTTAAACAAATTTTCAAAAAAAAAAAAAAATACACATTATAAAATTACTTAGCACTTCATACTAGCCTATTTATTATTTTACAGCCAAAATTCTTTTAGGTTGTTAGTGATAATGAATTCAAAATAAAGAAATGATTAATATTTGCCTACTTAAACTGATTAATAATGTCTAGATATTTATCTGTTCACTTTCCTCATTAGTGTATTCTAACAATGTTCTATATTCAAGTCAGGAAACTGGCTTTGCCAATTTTCAAAATGTATGATACCCTTTTTCTTTTAAATAATTTAGTATGATTGCTTGTACCAAACTGTTGAAAAATGTATGAATTTTCATATTTACCTACATTAAGGATACATTGATATACTTTTGAATTTATATTTTCATTATATAAAACATTTACACTTTTTCTATATCCTCATGCTGTTCCCCATACTGTAATGGCTGATATGTGTTTTACAGTTTAAGTACAATTTTGCTAAATCCTAAATTAGGGTTATTTTCCCATATTGTCTTGTACTTGGAAAAAAGTCTTGTGCATTCCATATATATTTTTTTTTTTTTACTAAGGATGTTTAAGGAGGAAATTAAAGTAATCATCTGGGTTATGTTTACCTAAACTATTGTGATGATCAAGAACTGACATTAAAATTGGGTAAATGATGTTGATAAAAAAAAAAAGTAAAATGGGAGACTAGAATATGGCAAAAATTGATGAAAGAGAAAAAAACATTAAAGAAATAAGATGAAGAGCTGGATGAGTGTTTTCCAGCTGGTAGAAAATTCAGGCACATTGAAGACTTGCAGGGAGAAAAGGATGAATGAGGAGAAACCAGCAGTAAAGGGCACAGCCATTTTCTACTAAAGAAACAGGAGTAAAATTAAAAAAAAAAAAACGTGCATTTGAAAATGCAATACTGATGTGCCTGTAACAATGCAGGTATAGATGTATTGTTAATCTGTAAGAACATGTGTTTGTCAGAATATTACACCAACTAATATAATTGGCAAGCTGAGATGTTTGTGAAATCACACAGATTTTTAACATTTGTTAATATTTATTAATGATTAATTCTAATAATGTGGCACAAAAGTGTTTTTCATAAAGATTTTCACATACCTGTTATATAATTGTTATATATTATACTGTATTTTCAGCATGTGCA